AAAAAGAAAAACACCAGTAAACGTAAAATTGTAAAGGACTTTGCCATGCCAGGTGGCGCATGGGGCATATCAGGCTAGATGCGTATTTATATTGATCCAAGCGGGGGTCTGCGGTACGAAAGGGTGCCAAGCCGTTTGCCTCGCTCTCTGAAAGTCATGGGTTCATTTAACGGCTGCGTTATTGGGTTGACAAGTTCAGTTTTTATGGAGACCCTTGATGGTCGTCGCCGGAGATACAGCATTTATGCTTTGTGCGACGCTCTCAGTAGGCGGTCATACGTTCTGCATAGAGAGACGGAACCAAATAGGATAAAACCTGATGCATTGAAGTCGATCCCTCTCGACTGTGATCTTCTAACTTTCGAATTTATAGAGACCCATAGATGTCATTCGATAGGTGCTGCGGTCAACATCTCACTGCCCGCCTTTACTTCCCATAAAATTTCCTGCTACCCATTTTAAGCTGGCTTGTCCTGGGATAAGGGATCAATAATAAAAATCCACCGCAGTGAAGGATTGAACCCAAAATTTTCAGTGCTGCTTCCAGGTCACTACACTACAACGGGTGTATCTCTCTCTCTCTCTCTCTCTCTCTCTCTCTCTCTCTCTCTCTCTCTCTCTCTCTCTTTCTCTCTCTCTTTCTTCAACTTCTGTATCACACTCATCTACTTAAACATAATTACTATCTGGTGACTGATCCACATGACATAATCTCGTTTTTATTTCCTTCTGACTCCAAGGATGATGTTATTAACATCATATCGGTCGACTTTACCTCTCAGAAAATTTGTTTGTACACATTTTAGGTTTTCTTGCCCAGATGAGTCGATCGTTCAGTTTGTCGAGATGGAGACTTTGTCTTCCCAAATGTTTAAGGGCATAGTATACTTTATTTCCAGATTGTATTCTAGATTGTATTTCTTCTCTCAGCATGTTGGAGCAGTTGAAGTAACGTCTACGCCCGCCATATATAATTTGGGTAAAGACGGGGAACTCAACGCTACTGCAACTGTGTTTATCACCCTTTGGCTTAGTCGAAAAATATCATCTTGAACCTGATCCATCAGACGAATTGACAAATCCATCTTATATGACTGAAAAAATCTATACTAACAATAACTCAGCATAAACACATGGCGTTTCAGATAATGAAGATCATTCCTGCTTTAAGACCCGCACAGAACAGTTTTATGTAGAAGTTGTAGCCTAGAACTTAGGGATGGGAGTTATAGGGAATTATGAGATTAACATATTTTATTTAACCGTTCCTTACTGTTTTTAACTGCTTCAATCTACAACTTTTAAGGTGGATTTAAGACAGGAGATATTATTCTAACTCCATCCCTGTAGGGGCGCAATTTTTTAACTTTTAAAACCCCATCCCAGCTGCCGTCAGGGGTCCTAATATAACTTAACAGTTGAACGGGATTTCTGTGACTTGTGCAAGGGGGGATTCTCATTCTTATGGTGGCACTTTGAGTCACCAGATGTAAATCCATCATTGTGCAGTCTTGAACTCACTCACTCAGGGGATATTAGAGTCCACCCAATATTAGGACACATATTTTAAATTTTTAAAATGATTATTTCTTAGCCCCGCCCTGGCTATTGTTGGGCGTCCTAAAAAAAAGCTAACAGTTAAACATGGTTTCTGAGACTTCTAGCTGAGGGATTCACATCCGAGTGGTGTCACCAGATGTCGCCAGGTGTTAGCCGCTTGTTGTGCAGCCCTGGTATGGCTAAACGTCACTCACTTTTACTGTGGGGTTATTTAACCTGATGATTCAGAGTCATGTGGCTAGCATAGGTGCCAGAACATGAGAGCTCGGAAACTTTGATCCCCTCCCCACCAGATAGGTGTAGTCACTGGCGCCCTACTTATGACTTCCATGGAGGTTGAATAGGCAAGTCACTCTTGTGTTGCACAATGGTAGACGACTTCATCGCCAGTCAGGACAGTATTTGGGTCTGTCTCTTTTGATCGCATCAACAGTGCAAAAGTCCTTCCTTTTCAAGGCAACTTAGTGGCAAGCAACGCTAAGCCACTTTACATGGATGGCGCACATAACCTAGTCACAATTATAGCCAAAAGCTCTCCATTTCAGGATGCTGGTTGAACGTGACAATTTTGTGTGTGTCCAAAGCAAGTCTAGTTGAATGGGGTATTTGTGATATGCTTTGTTGATCTGTGGTCCAAATTCAGATTTTCTGAAAATCTCAGAATGGAATGTTCAATCTTTAGGTAGCAGCCTGGAGGGAACAAATTGACTGGAGTAATTTTACTATAACTTCCTCACACAACCTCACCTAACCCTTTGAAGTGGGGAGAGGGGGGACAAGAGGGGGGAGGGGCGAGGGGGGCACAACCAGTTTGGAAACCACCTGTGTGAAGCGTCTATGTCGCCTTCTAGACCAAGACAGGAAATATAACCAACTCCTCATGGGAATAATCAGTAGAGGTGCCATGGAATGGTTGCTGCATCAGGGGACTGAGCACACATGGGAATTCCCAATGTGTAGTGATGATAATTTTGATAATATAGCATAACATAGTGTGCATGTAGTAAATAATCTTGTGAATTTCCCTCTCCAGTTCTAGCTGGCTTGTGGATGCTATAACCCAAAATGTAGTTGATGAAATATGGTTTCCACTGCCAGGTTGGATGCTGTTTGCAACCATTGCTGTGTGTGGTAAGATTCCATGACATTTAACTTTTTTTTTTGGGGGGTGCCATTTCCATAATAAAAGTTGGCTTCAGTACACCTGCTGCTATTTTAGGAAAATATTACATAATGAAGCGATCGTCGGCTATCTTCGGAATAACAGGCACATATTATGGCGGCCAAAAACACACCCTGACAGGGCCTCAGTCACATGTAAATTGCGGACTTCCGGCGACTACTGCTACAAGTATCTCCCACGCCGCTACACGCAGCGTGGAGCAGGGCTAAACTAGAGGGCTGACTCACGAGCAGATAAAATGAAGGAAGCTTCAGGAGATGCGGAAGATGCAATTTAAGTCGCCGGAAGTCCGCAATTAACATGTGACTGAGGCCCTGTTAGGGTGTGTTTTTGGCCGCCATAATATGTGCCCGTTATTAGGAGGATAGCCCAATAGTCTTGTCCAGAGTCTGCCATTCATACTGCTGCCTGAAAACTACAAGAACCTGTTATTTTTATTTTAGTTACCATAATGAAATAACTTTAAACTCTTCCTAGTAACAAGTTCACTGTTTGAAAACACAGAGCTTTGCGTACAACGTCACAACATTCAGTTTGAGAATGGAGGTGGAGCTGATATCGGTAGCTTTCTGATGGCTTGAAAGCAACACAGCTCAACATGAGGTCATTGCAATGGACTCACCGACCATGCTTAGGAAAATAGAACCAGCCGCCTCACCCACAGAGTGTCTTGCTTTGTTTGATAAAACCGATCAGGAACATATCATGAATTTTCTGTCCATGATATTCAGATGTGGGGGGCTGTAGAGAACCATTTTCTCCCTGATAAATTATGTTACAATAGGAATGATGTCAGGTAATGAATATGAATTAGATATTTGAATTTAATGAGTACAAACGGGGATGCACAAGGAAAATGTTGGCCAAATGAATCTCGCTAAACTCATACGAAATGGAAAACATGAGAATTCAGATGTGGGCGCAATTTTAATGTGGGCCACAGAAGATTTTTTAATGCCATAGAAAGATCAAATGGGCAGTCTCGCCTGGGTCAAGAAACTGTGTGTATGTTGAGCGGAGAAAGTATTTGTATTAAGTTATAAATGAAAGCATGCATCAGAAGTGTTTGTAAATTTCCAACGCCCAACCTGGCCTTCAGCTAAGAACTGACATAGTCAGCGCTGAAAATGTTTGAGTTTGCAAGTCAAGGAGAACTGTCAATGAGCAAGCAACTGGCTGCTGCTACTTCTCTGGGTGGTAAGCTTTATTATGATAAAGCGGAAGTGGTGAGGGCTCTCTCTGATCAAGTGGACAGTGCAACAGAATAAACAAGTGGAAGTGGTCAAAGCTCTCTCTGATCAAGTGGACAGTGCAACAGAATAAACAAGTGGAAGTGGTGAAAGCTCTCTCTGATCAACAGAACAGACCAAGTATCCATACATTGATAGATTAATTTAACAAGGAGTGAGCAAGGGGTCTAGCAGATATTCAACACTCCACAGGGAAAATGTGAGCAGACTTTTCATCAGGTTGCAGTACGTGCTGTTAGCATACTGACTTTTCATCACCTACTGGAGAAGAAGAGAGAGCACCTGTGGGAATGTCTGAAGTGCAGAGATGTCAATTCTTTATTAGTTAATTAATTCCTTAACTCATTCATCCAGTAACAAAGAACTAGCCATGCATTTTTTAGTTTCTACTCATAATGTGCTATCACCCACCAAGTGCTGACTGGTCTATAAAATACAGGTCTAGCCCTATATGCCCAATACACCTGAAGGCGTGGGAATGGTCTTTTACTTCTGCTTACAATTTTCTTTATTCCCTGTGTGGCATCTTATTGTTACATTAGCTCATCATTAACATTAAATGACTTGCTGACCGGCATGGGAGATCATGTCTCTCCACAAACTGCGATCTTCCACAGTTAAAAAGTCTATTAAGAATCCTGTCATGTTGTATTCTATTTTCCATATATCTTTCTACATTCCAATTTCCTTCTAACCAAAACATGACCCCTCCCCCCTCCACCCCCCAAAAATGATGACTGTCTCTTTATGATAAGTTGTCTTCAAGCCCCTGCCTCTTTCAAACATATGGGTTGCTCTTTTTAGCTGTTTAAGGCATTCTAAAGCAACGGGTCTATTCCCCCCCCCCTCACCCCACTCCACCAACAATAGGGCCCCAGTACCCACATGGGGGATGTACAGAAATTGCAAGTAACACCTTTGTTGCAAAAATTATGAAATAATTAAGGAAACAGTATGCACCCTTGTCCTCTATATAACACCCCATATTTTTTGCATTGACCTCACAGCACCACCTAGCCTTGTCATTGCCCGATTACTGCCAGATCCATCCATCGCTTTGTCATTTGGTGGACTTCTGACAGCTGTGGGACTTATCTGGACATGGCTTACTACGGGTTCTACACAGATGGTTTCATTATGTGTGCTGTCAGGTAATGTGAACATGTTTTGTTGATTAATATAGTCTTCTTCTTCTTTTTTTTTCTTCTTCTTCTTCTTCTTCTTCTTCTTCTTCTTTCTTCTTCTTCTTCTTCTTCTTCTTCTTCTTCTTCTTCTTCTTCTTCTTCTGTGTGTTCACCGGCTGTAAACTCCACCAGAAAGTTCTTATTGTTTGTCCACTTCTGGACTGCAGTCCTGTTCCAGAACCTCAATGTTGCATGTGCATCCGTTTGACAGGTCTGACTCATTTGTGCAGACTGTTGGTTCCTTGCCTCTCGGGCAGATGCACTCCGACTTCGAAGGAAGATTAATATAGTGAAAGACTGCAATTTCAATATGTTTATGTTTGTCTGACAGATCAACATTATGGCACACAGATGTAACCCATAAGTGCTCCGTTCTACTTCTTACTCAAGCCTGAGTCTGAAAAATTTCACCACAGTGCACAAACTCCATTGCACCAGGGAGGATCCTGAAATACTTTGGTAGATTTTTAACTCCAAATTTTGCCTGGTCAGTGCCGTTAGGCTACTCTTTTAAATTTCAAACTGCCAAAAGATTTTTTACGCGTGCATGAATACACACGGGTGCCCAATCTCACTACCCAGACCAGGAGAAATTACTAAAAGTCCATGTGAAAAAATCCCAGCCTTCATCGGGTCGTAAACCCAGGACCTCCAGCACTCGAGACGGACACCATACCCCAAGACCATAATAGGGGTAGGCTGAAGAAGATTAGTGTTCAAGTATTTGAGTACTTCGATAATAGTGGATGGAAGGTGTGGTAAGGAAGTTAAATATAAAACGACACTAGCAACAACAACAACAAAAATAGCAACAACAACAACAACAACAACAACAACAACAACAACAACAACAGCATTTATAGAATGTTTCTTTTTTATTTTCATCTATGTTCTTTATCATCATCATCTTCATCTTATCCACATCCTTGTTCATCATCATCTTCCTCTTCTCCTCCTCATTGTTTTTATCTATCGTAACTTGCCAGTCAGAAAGAAGGGGTGCTTTTTTAATGTTAAAGCTAAAACTAATTTCTTCAGTGAGATATTAGAATGTTTTCTGTGTCTTTTTTTTTTGACACTAAATTTGCATGAACTTGTTTACCATGAAAGACAGCTCATTGTACACACAACATGGTCAGCCCTTTCAGTTGCCACTTTGAGCACTGCAGTATTATGTAGCAATATTTAACAAGTTACTACCTATATACTCTCCAGTATTGTGATATTATTTGTTTTATACTGATTTATCTTTAGTGTATTATGTGTCTATTTATCTATAGGGGCTGGAATATCATTGTGCATACAAGCAGCAAGTGTTGCCATTTCACCATATTTTATCAGGTAAATATCCTATGCAGTTGCCGTTGTATTTGATTATTATATTCTGTTTTTGTTTGCTAGTATATGTCTCTTAATCATGGACATTGAATTACAGGAATTCCCCATTTGAATTCCAGAGTTCTATTTTAGGGAGAACTGGGGCCTGGATTCATGAACCAGGTCAGCCCCCCTTTTGAATTTGTTTAGGAAGTAACGGGCCGAAACAATTGTCAATGAAGGATTTTCTACTGAAGACCTGTTAACCCCTGCTGTGCATGCCTTTTTCTTATTGTTGGGAGAGAAAAGAGTACGGTCCCTTGTTCCCTGACAAGCATGTCATAAAAGTTCACTAAATAAGGGTTTGCTCAAATTAGTTTCTTGTACTAAATGGTGTAGATATTGCAACCTATTTCACTAAATAAAGGTTTGCTCAAATTAGTTTCTTGCACTAAATGGTGTAGATATCGCAACCTAGTTCACTAAAAAAGGGTTTGCTCAAATTAGTTTCTTGCACTAAATGGTGTAGATATCGTAACCTAGTTCACTAAATAAAGGTTTGCTCAAATTAGTTTCCTGCACTAAGCGGTGTAGATATCGCAACCTAGTTCACTAAATAAGGGTTTGCTCAAATTAGTTTCTTGCACTAAACGGTGTAGATATCGCAACCTAGTTCACTAAATAAAGGTTTGCTCAAATTAGTTTCTTGCACTAAACAGTGTAGATATCGCAACCTAGTTCACTAAAAAAAGGTTTGCTCAAATTAGTTTCTTGCACTATACGGTGTAGATATCGCAACCTAGCTGTAAACCATCATGTGCTAACCAACATTTTTAAGGGCAAAAACAGAAGCAGAAGAAGAAGAAGAAGAAGAAGAAGAAGAAGAAGAAGAAGAAGAAGAAGAAGAAGAAGAAGAAGAAGAAGAAGAAGAAGAAGCAGAAGCAGAAGAAGCAGAAGCAGAAGCAGAAGAAGAAGAAGAAGCAGAAGAAGAAGAAGAAGAAGAAATAGAAGAAGAAGAAGAAGAAGAAGAAGAAGAAGAAGAAGAAGAAGAAGAAGAAGAAGAATAAGAATAAGAAGAAGAAGAAGGAATAGAAGAAGAAGAAGAAGAAGAAGAAGAAGAAGAAGAAGGAATAGAAGAAGAAGAAAAAGAAGAAGAAGAAGAAGAAGAAGAAGAAGAAGAAGAAGAAGAAGAAGAAGAAGAAGAAGAAGAAGAAAAAGAAGAATAAGAAGAAGAAAATGAATAACGTGACTAGAAAGAAACTGGAGGCAGCAAATAATTTATATATTCGGAAACTGCTAAGAATCCTATAAGTGCCTTTAAAAAAGGGCATTTTACATGTCTTTTTCTTCATCTGTTTATCTGAGGACATAATTGCATTGTGCATATTTACAGCTTGGCTGAGGTATTTGTGTGATTCTTGGCGGACACATCCAATTTTTTTCTGGTGTTTGTTGTCCTTTTCAGACTTTTGAGACTTTTCATTTTAAACTTTAAGTATAACAAGGCCATAGCTATTTGTTTTATTGGGTATATTTAAATGTATTTAAAGAGGTGAGGGCTCAAAGATAGGTTGTCATAAATATCAGAAAAGGACGGTCATAACTGTTTGGTCATGTTATGAGAAGAAGGAAACTGGAACATATTGCAACCACTGGAAAAATCTGTGGAAAAGAGAAAGAGAGGATTCTTGACAGCATTTTGTCATGAATATGGAGGGGTGTCGGCACACGAACTGACACATACTGCTGAAGATCACAGACTGGGGAGAGTCATAATTACCCACACCGTTTGGCATAACACTTGATTATGATAGTTAAATTCAGAATGACATATTTGTGTTTGTGAATTTCTTCAATTTGTTCTTACAGTGACAACATCAGTGCATCACTAGGGACACTACTCTTGTCAGCAACTGTTGTCTTGGTTCTGCGCCCTTTGATGACCCACATAAATAAAGACATTTATAGACTGTTCCCGTATTTTAGCATTGCCACACTTGCTAGCTGTTTAGTTCCACTTTTGGCGTACCTACATTCCAAAAGACAACAATTTGCTGAACAGGGTGAGTATTCTTCTTATTCTTTGCATTCACTGTCTGTAAATTAAACGCTGGTGGAAAGTTATGGTTGTTCGCACACTTCTGGGCGTTAGTCTTCATTCGGAACATGTATTTTGCGTGCACCTCTGTTTTACAGACCTGGCTTATCTGTATACAGACTGTTGGTACCTCACCTCTCAAGGCAGCTGCACTCCAACTTAAAAGGAAAGCCCCCTAATTAGTCAACTTTTGGGAAATACTTTTTAGAAGTGTCAGGGGTGGCAGTGAGTCTATTATTTTCCCCTACCAGTGGACCCGCAGAACCCACACAGGGAGAAAAGGGTCCATATAAAACCTGGGGAAATAATGGCATTCATTATTTTACTTCTCTGAACACGTTATTCTTCTTATAGTCAATGATGTGAAGTGTTTGCTCATAACCTTCTGTCTCATAGACAGTCAATCATTTCCAACAAAGATTTTCTTTTATTCCTTGATGCCAATCATGTTTTCTCGTGGTCTTCCTCAGTCTCTCTGCTGCTTACATTTTCCTGTTTTGATTGTGCACTCCAGTTTTTGCTTCCTCGTGAAGTGCTCAAAGAATATAAATTATCTTCTGATTTTCCCGTTCTGTAACTAGGGAATGATGAAGTCAAGCTTCCTGGTATGTAGTGGTCAGGACAAGCTGCTTCATATGATCCTAATGGATGGAACATGTGCTAGCCATTCTACAGAGGGAGACTGAGCCATTTGGGATCAAGACCTGGTTCAGTGAAGTCGATCTTCTCGACTTTACCTTTCTGTCTATTTCTTATTATTAATTCACTAAAGAAAATGTTCTCAATGATTCTATCATCCCTCATCCTCCAAGTGGTCCAAGCCGTCACAGCCTGTAAGGACACAGCACTGAGAATACAGTAAAACCAAATATACTCTTTGATTCATCATGTAAAAGTAAAGTGAAGGACCCTTTTTCCCGCCTTCAGGAGTGTTGGGCATATAGGGCTAGACCTATATTTTAACTCTTTGAGTCCCAGAGGGTTTAGCATCACAGGCCCAAAGGGTAGTCAAAAGAGACTAAAATCAGCGCATCGTGCGTTCATTAGGCTTCTAGGCAGTAACCTATGAACGTATGATGCATTCCTTGGGACTCAGAGTTAAAGACTAATCACAACTTGTTGGGTGATGTGGTCAACATCAATCCGGCTGTATTTACTTCCCAGGACTTTACCTGGTACCCTTTTAAGGAGATTGGAGCAATTATGGTCATGTGCGATGAAGATGATCCGAAAAATGAACAATGAACAATATACTTGAATATTTACTATTTCATATTTCTCACATTAAAAACACTTGGAATTACAAAACAGAATAAAGAAGGCCAATCACAGAGATGAATAGAGGCAGGTGGATACCTGGAGCAACCAGCTGTAAACTCCTGCAGAATGTTCTGGTTGTTTGTCCACTTCTGGACTGTCATCTTGTTTCAGATCTAGATTATTTGTATGCAGACTGTTGGTTCCTCGCCTCTCAGGCAAATGCACTCTGACTTTGAAGGAAACACCATTAATCAGTCGACTCTTAGGACGTGCTTGTTAGAAAGGCAGTGGGTGCATTATTTATTTTCTCTGTCTACAATGGAGCCCCGGAACCCACACAAAGATAGGCAGCAATGAACCTCAAGGGTTTATAATGCTAAAGAAGGAATTTCTTTTATCTTTATCTCATATGTGCATTCTGCATTTGTATCTACGCTGTATTTTATTTTATTTGGCATTTATAAAGTCCACTCACGTCTGTAGGAAAACTGTTAAAAAAGCAGCCCAGTACATATCTCTCAGTGCTTCCTGAGAAATTGATACAAACAGAGCCTGAGAGTGAGGTCCCTTCCTCGGGCAGTGATAAAAGAGAAAGCAAACTTCAGTTCAGCAATGATGGATGTGCCGTGTCCTGTATGTCTTTACTTATGTGGCTGACATGGGGTGCAGGTATCAGTGCTTTTGTTATTTTTGTTATTGTATACATGTTATATTGTTTATTTGTATCAGTAGAAGCATGCACTGGTCTGGGAACCTGGTGACAATGAATCCAATGAAACCGGCAGCATGCACCATGAAAATAGAAACATCGAGGGACAAAGGGAGATCTAGAATAACATAAATTCTTTTTCTTCTTCTTTGTGTTCACCGTCTATAAACTCCAGCAGAAAGTTCAGGTTGTTTGTCCACCTCTGGACTTTGGTCTTGTTCCAGAACTTGAGTTTTGCCTGCACATTCATTTCACAGATGTGGCTTATTTGTACAGACTGTTTGGTTCCTTGCCTCAGGCAGATGCACTCTGACTTTAAAGAAAACCCTTAACTAGTTTTCTCTTATGACATGTTTGTTAATGAGACAGTGGGACTATTCTGGTATTCCCCCATAATGGCACTCCCGAACCCACATGGGGAAAATGTTATGGATTGACGTAGTCACTGACAGTACACTGATAGCAAGTTATTATTCTACGCCTTAGAACAGGACACAATCAACTTTGCAGCCATTGGTACACAAAATTTTAAATCGGTGAATCAGCCATGTGCACACGTGGATTGGCACCTGAGACAACAGATAACATCCTCTAAGACTGTCCCAAATACAACATATTGAGGCAAAACTTTTGGCCAAGAGAAACATTGATGCAAGTCAAACTTTACGGGTCACTGAGTGAATTACAAAACACAGTGAAGTTTATACTAGAGACAAGATTGCAGATATAGATAATCTATTTCAAGCGAACAGAAGAAGTAGAAAAAGAAGAAGAAGAAGAAGAACTGACAGCCCAAGACTTCACATCATCATAGCATACCAAGCTACAGAATGCACTCCCTGGCTTGGTTATCTACAATCTGTTAAACTGTGATGCGCAAAGCCTCCTTCCCCTCCTCCTCCTTCTTCTTTCATTTCTTCTTCTTTTATTTTTTTTTTTTCATTTTTCTCTACATAAATTAGAGTAATTATTGAATAAAATAAAGAAAAGAAATTAATCCTTTCAGCTGAAATACATACAAAATCAGTCTACCTTCTAAACCCTTGTCGTTTGTCTTTTTTTTTCACATTCACAATGGGAAAACATTGTTTGGATATTTTTAAAAAAAAAGTAAAAAAAGTAAAGGACTCTTTCCACGCCTTTAGGCGTATAGGGCATATAGGGCTAGACCTATATTTTTATAGACCAACGGCACAAGATGGGTGATGTGGTCAGCATCATGCCGGCCGCCTCTACTTCCCGGGATTGCACCCGGTACCCACTCAAAGCTGGGTCGACCTGGGAGCCAAGGTCATTTTTTTAAGAAAAAAGTCCGTCTCCGCCAGGGAGCGAACCCACGACCTTCCGATCCGCGGCGAGCGTCTAGCCGCTCGGCCACGGCGACTCCCTAAAAATGTTAGTTGCGTATCCTTTACAGGACGTTGCAGAACCAACCCTAACAACCCCTGGCTGTTGTGTGGTTTCTCTTGGCAATTTACGTCCAGTAGTTTGCCATTGCTTTTTGGACGGTCGGCTTTCTTGATACCACTGTCGAAACCAACGCAAGGCGCATTGCCCACAAGTGGGATCGAACCCGGCATCCTGGCATTACGAAGCGAAGCATTCGCACTTAGCCACAGAGCCGACTCGTTTTAATATTTACACAACACAAAATATATTTATGAAGACCACAAAGGGAGAAAGCATGTTATGCTCTTGCATTGGTCACTATATTCTACTATTTTGCAAATTTTTTTCTTATAAAGTTTCCAATAAACCTTTTTTCTTCTCGTCACTAGGTGTTGACACAACATGGCTGTCATTGGGCTGGCGTTATCAGTACTTCAGTAAACCAACTGACCTGGCATCCCTACAGCTGTTCCTTTGCTTTGTACTGCTAACTGTGAAGATATGCATGGAATTATCACAGCCATGTACTTCTTTGTATAGAATAAACCTAGCAAGTAACTACATGCAGCTGGGTCTTCTAGGTACGTCAATGATATGTTTAACGATTTCAGTCTTTCTTTTCCCCCACGTGGGTTTCAGGGCCCCAAGTGGGTTTCAGGGACCCATCATATAGAAAACAAGAACAGACTAACTACCTCCCTAAAAAGCATGTTGTAGGAGTCAAGTAACTGGGGACTTCCTTCGAAGTTGGAGTGCATCTGTGGCAAGGAACAACCGCATACTGGGTCAAGAGAGAATAATGATATAAAAAAAATCACTTTAAGTATTCCAAAAGATATATTAGACTATATTACTACTACTACTTACTTAGTCGCTCCTCTTCTACCTTGGGGTGTAGAAGTTTGCCAGAGAGTTTGCCAGATGTCTCTATCAGCAGTTTTCTTTCTGGCTTTGTTCCATTCCAGTCCTCTGTCAGTTAGGGACTGTCGGATGTTGTCTTCTCAGCGCACCCTGGGTCGTCCCGGAGGTCTGGTTCCCTGGTTCTTAGCCTACCATGCTTGCCATGGTGGCAGATTTTCTCCCATTCTGCATACATGTCCAAACCATCGTAACTGTGACTGATCTACTCGGGTTAGTAAGGGCTGGGTATCAAGAGCTTGACGTATTGTCTGATTGTGGACTTTGTCCCTTCTTGTCACTTGGACCACTTTTCTCAGGTATCTCATTTCCGAGGCCTGCAGCTGGCTTCTGTGAGCTGTTGTCATTGCCCATGACTCACACCCATAGGTCAGGACTGGTACATAGGTAGAGCAGTAAACAGCCATTTTCGTCCTCTTGCCAATTTCTCTTTTGCTAAGAAACCCTCGGTTTATGGCCTGGAAGAGTCTCCCAGCAGCTGCTTTTCGTGTAGCCAGCTCAGTCTTAATGCCTCCGTTTTGGTCTAGTACAACTCCAAGGTATTTGAAATGGTTAACCTGCTCCAATGCATACTGTTCCATCATGATCTGGTTATTAGACTATATGATTATCCATATTATTTAAAAAGTTAAAGATAGTTGTGTATCCTTTACAGGACGTTCCAGAACCAACCCCAGCATTTTTTGGCGGTTGTAGTTTTTCTAGGCAAATTTGTGTCCAGTAGTTTGCCATTCTTACTGAACAGTCGACCCTGTTGAAACCAACGCAAGGCGAAAGGCCAGCAGCTGGGATCAAACCTGGCACCTCGGCATTACGAAGGGTGTTCACAACACCTAAGCCACAGATGCCAACATTTAAAAAGTGCACTTAAAAAAACACATTAAACTAAACAGTCTATATACCCATAGTCTGTTACAATTAATACATAGTATTAAAACAACCAAAAGTAATTGACAAGTATAAATGTGCAGTATTGAAATAGACAAAAGTGTATACAGTCCAGTCATTCCTAGCTGGATTAAACAAGATCTCTTTGTTTTAATGAGTTAATTACTTCTTCTTCTTCTTTCTCTTCCTTTTCCTCTTCTTCTGCTTCACTTCCTCTTTTACTGTTTCAGGTGTGGAGCGAGAATTAAGGTTCTGTTAAATTACTACTACTACTTATAAATGTATTTGTCATATTTACTTCAAAAAAAAACCAAATGCACATCAGTAATTTATGTCTTTGTATCCTCTGCCAGGAACCTGTGGTTTCATCTTGTGTCTATTTCCAGAACATGCTAGACCATTGCACAACAGCCTTTTATTCACTGCTGGATTTGCATTGCAGTACGATGATCTCAGTGACCTCTACATTGTCAGAAAGAGGATCGATCCTCTGTCTGTCTTCAGGCACAAGTTAATTGCTTGTCAGCCAAATGAAGTTGGGCGCGTCAGTGTCGAATATAGCCCACTTTTCAGCTGCTGCTGTGTGGTGTGCCATGTTGCATCTCTCTTTCTCATGTCTCTACTGGCAATTATACTAGGAATTCAGCTAGCAAGTAAGTAGTAACATCTTATAGATAGATTTATCCAGGGGTTTCTTCTTCTAGAAAAAAAAAAAGAGTGCTTGTACTCATCAAACTGTAAAAAAAAAAAAAAGTGTTGGTGCTCACTCACATTTAGTATCTACAAGGATTAGTTTCATTTTCATGCCAGGATATGTAGGGGTACAAGGAAATGAGCAGGCTGATAGACTTGCAGGTAAGGCTACTGTGAAAGCCGGACAAGCCATGGACCAGGCTGATATAGTGAATGCTCTAAGAGAGTTAATACGTTTGCGTGAACCAGTTGGGAACTGTGAATCTGCAACTATGGTTAGACAAAAACACTATGCAGGTAGCCAAAGAAGAAGAATATATCAACACACCCTGTGTGGGTTCCAGGGTCTAATATAGGGAAAACAAGAATAGACCCACTGCCTACCCAAAAACATGCCGTAAAAGTCGACTAATTGGGGTCTTCCTTCAAAGTCAGTGTGCATCTGCCTAAGAGGCAAGGAACCAACAGTCTGCATACAAAGTAGTCAGATCTGTCAAACGAATGCACATGCAACACTCAGGTTCTGGAACAGGACTGCAGTCCAGAAGTGGACAAACAGCCAGAACTTTCCACCAGAGTTTACAGCCGGTGATTGCGAAGAAGAAGAGATATCAACACATAGCTGGTGTCGTTAGCTGCTACACACTGGGATTTACTGAGGAGGGGATCCGAGCACTTATGGACTGAGTGGTTTGACGTGCAATGAGGATAATCTGTCGACTAACTAACTAACTAACTTAGAGTCTATTACAGCAGCACTGAAAAAATATTGCCTAGAAAAGTTGCTGGTACTGCACCACTAGAAAAAAAAACCGTTGGATTTATCACTGACATTTTATGGGAAAAGTGGGCAGAAAGGTTACTAGGGGTCCAGTCTGCCTGCAGAGTTATCACCAAAATGTTACTAGGAATCCAGTCTGTCTGCAGATTTATCACTGAAATGTTACTAGGAATCCAGTCTGTCTACAGATTTATCACTGAAATGTTAGGGGTCCAGTCTATCTACAGATTTATCACTGAAATGTTACTAGAAGCCTAGTCTATCTACAGATTTATCACTGAAATGTTAGGGGTCCAATCTATCTACTGATTTATCACTGAGATGTTACTAGGACTCCAAACTGTGTACATATTTATCACTAAAACATTAGCGGTCCAGTATATCTACAGATTTATCACTGGACTCCTACGTTACCGTAAAATTAACACCTGTGAAATAAGATGCCTGAGAAAAGCTGCTAACTGAACTATCCGTGACAAATTTGGAAATGATATTATCAGACAGTAGGAACAACAGCATGCAGCAAATTCATTGAGAAACAGAAGATCGAAGGGTTTGGTCATTTATTAAGACTGCAGCCAGAACATAAACCTTTGAGGGCACTACACATGAAAAGATCTGAAGTTCAAGCATGAGGCTGCCCTAGGAAAAGATGGATTGATGACATTAAAGAGCTTCTAAATCAACACAGAAAAACAGTTATCATTGCTGCTCATCAAAAAATGGATCTAAAACTGTTCCTCCCCACGCTGCTTAATGGCAGAAGTGGAAACTAATGATGATGATGATGACATTTGTGCCTAATGATAAAAGTTAAAGGTAAAGGTCAAGAGAATTGACTTCATTGCACCAGGTTTTATCTTAGAAGAATAGCTAGATATCTATCCAGAGCGTTGCAGAATACATGAACACTGTAGCTCCAGGGACTATCCCTAGGAGACTCCGTAAAAATTGCATTTATTGACCGAATGAAACAGCAGTGAAATGAACCAACGACCGTATGTAGCTGATGCAGTGATGTCAGCATTTGATCAGCTGATCAGTCAAGAGAGACAAATCAGAGGCAAGAATGTTGATTCCCTTCCCTTTTCCCCATGTGGGTTCTGGGGCCCCATTTTAGAGGGAAAATAGACCCGCTGTTCCCCTAACAAACTGATCAGAGAGGCGACTAATAAGGGATTGGCTGAAATCAAATGTGTTGGACCAGATGGTATAGATATTGCAGTCTAGCTGTAAACCACAAAACAATGTGATTTTAAAAAAAAGTAAAGGACCCTTTTCCACGCCTTTTAGGCGTATAGGGCATATAGGGCTAGACCTATATTTTATATACCAATGGCACAAGATGGGTGATGTGGTCAGCATCATGCTGGCGGCCTCTACTTCCCGGGACTGCACCCGGTACCCACTCAAGGCTGGGTCGACCTGGGAGCCAAGGTCATTTTTGAAGAAAAGTCCGGCTCCTCCAGGGATCGAACCCACGATCTTCTGATCCGTGACTTGCGTCTAGCCTCTCTGCCATGGCAACTCCCAAACAATGTGATAACCGTCCTTTAAAAGAAGAACACAGAAGAAGAAATCCTTGCAGCCCCAACCCCCTGTACTCACTATCCTAGAAAAGTGGAAAGGTAAGTGTGAAGTAATTTCCTTTCAAATGTTTGGAGTTAAATTTTCTTTCTCTCTTGCAGATGTATTTGGCTACCTAGCAACACTTCCACCATTGAATTTTGTCTGTTCCCGTAAGTAAATTACTTTAATTATTTATGTCTAGTCCGGCTACTTCTCTTTTATTTGTATACTTCATTTTATTCATAACTTTCTTACTGGCGGTAAATTCTGCCACTTTATTCTCACAGTTTACTCAGACTGTCACACTGTTTATCTGTGTACCTGCTTTCTCCCTAGCCATCACTGCTAACTTAAGGGGGCTGCGGGGTCTCGAGGCATTGTGTCCACCTTGAGTGCTAGAGATTCCGGGTTTAAAACCTGATAAAAAATCCCTTGGCAGGTGGAAACTCAAAAAGAGTAGCCTAACGGCGCTACCTGGGCAAAATTTGGAGTAAAAAATCTACCCAGAGTATTTCAGGATTCTCGCCGGTGCTACAGACCTGTTCACTATGCTGAGCTTCCTCGAACTCAGGCTTGAGTTAGAAGAAGAACGGAGCACTTATGGGTTACTACCTGTGTGCCATGATGTTGATCCGTTGTTCAAACCTCAAACCTCACTGCTAACACCTACACATGTCATTCAAAAAACATTAACTATTACACTTTATTTACACTACATTTAGTACATGATTACCAACCATGTTCCTTGACTTCTGGCTCACAACGGAACCCAAACTCATTCCATCTGGGTATTCCATGCCGCAGATGTCTTGCTCAAGCTTTCTGTCTGTCTTGTTATGACCATGAGCTACACTTCAAAACATGGTCATCACATTAAAGAACTTGTAATTTGCAAATATTACAATTACACGCGCATACACAAAAAAAGAATTGCATTTCTAAAGTTGTGTAAATGATTTCACAGTTATTTGTGTAAATGATATCACATTTATTTTTGTAAATTATTTCTAAGGCTGTCTTGTGTTTCAGTGGATGAACAAATTCAGCCCACCTTGCTGACTATCTTAACTAGGGCTTATATAGGGTGTTTGTAAAGTCTCACTGTACTTTGTACACAGAATAAATTTGAAAACCCCAAGTACAAAGGGTTATGAAAAAATATGCTTCAAAATGTCATTAAATTAGATTCAATAGTCAGTGCTACTGTCTAACACTGTTTTGAGAAAGCTGGAAAGTACCAATGGAATATTCATTAAAAACAGCTGTTGAAAATATCAACCATGGGCTTCAAGACATGACTGTACACATCTCTTCGTATTGTCAAATACCTTCATCAACCTGTCTGTTATTATTTCTCAAATGATAATTCTGATCCCTTCTGTTTTTAGTCCATCAGATCACAGCTAATAACCACATATTGCTTTGCGATTTACTGAAAGCACATTTTCTTATGATGTAATGTACTTAATTTTTCATACTTGTTCTACATAAAAAGTGTATAGAAACTTTACAAACACCCTGTATTCGGGGTAGTGCTTATATTATGAGCATCTTGAAAAATCCTGCTTAGACTTATTTTCAAGGAGGCATTGTACAGTTTTTGTGGTTATTTCTACAGCAGAATAAAACATAACTAATGTAGAGCTTTGGGAGAGAACTAAGCAAGCTCCAGTGGACCAAGAGGTGAGGAAAAGATGCTGCTTTGAAAAAGACACACATTGAGAAAACTGGAGAACAGCATAACTTGAATGTCTTTGCATTAGAACCCACATGGGTATAGGAATAAAGGAAGGCCAAAAAACACATGGAGACGAGAGCTAAGGAAGGAAGTTAGAGAGATGGGGAGGACATGGGGAGAACTCCATGTAATAGGGAAGGATAGAACGACTTGGCATGAGTTGGTTGAGGGCCTATGCTCCATTGGGGGAATAGAAAGGCAGAAGAAGAAGAAGAAGAAGAAGAAGAAGAAGAAGAAGAAGAAGAAGAAGAAGAATAAGAAGAAGAAGAAAACAAATTTTATTGATTGATTTCTTTTTGTCCACACAGGAGGTGGCCTTCTGTTGATGTCTATAGCAGCCATCTGTATTTCTCTGGCAAGACCACATAGGTGGATTCAACAAACCAGCCATATACTAGTCTTGTGAAACTTTACCACATTCCTCTTACACATTCCATATTTATGCTCATGGAAATTTATCGTGCCAGGTTATCATCCAAGGCAAAGCGTTATTTGACAATGAAAGCATGCAATAACCAAGTGTGTGCCTCATATAAACTTGTTATAGTGCAACCTGGCAAGTATGGTTGGTGTCTCTATTAGACATTAGGCAGGTGAATGAGAAACTCTTGAGCCTAAATATACCTGTAAATGTTATTGTTTTAACAGTAACACGTGTGATATTAATGACTACAGCTTGTCTTTGACTGGCAGTAAATAAGTAAAAGTAAAGTAAAGGACCCTTTCTATGCCATCAGGCGTATAGGGCATATAGGGCTAGACCTATATTTTTATAGACCAATCGGCACAAAATGGGTGATGTGGTCAGCATCACGCCGGCCGCCTTTACTTTCCCGGGACTGCACCCGGTACCCACTCAAGGCTGGGTCGAC